CCCTTAGCGGCCTGGTGTGGCCCCTATCGGCCTCTTGGATTTTTTAGCTTTTTTATGTTTTTAATGTTTGGTTTTTTTTACTTTTAATTGTTTTTATGTTTCTAATGTTTGGTTTTTATAACTTTTAATTGTATTTATGTTTTTAGTGTGTTGTAAGCCTCCCAGAGTCCCCCATTGTGGGGAGATGGGCGGGGACAAGATAGATAAATAAATAAATAAATAAATAAATAAATAAATAAATATCTTAACTCCCCTAATTCTCTCATCTTGTCTTCTGTTTCTATTTAATACCTCAAGAACTAAAATGAACAAAAGTGGAGACAGTAAGCATCCTTGTCTTGTCCCTTTTTAAATCTCACAAGGTTTTGTTAGTTCTCCATTAACAATTCTTTGTGCTTTCTGAGAAGTGTAATTCGATCTTACGCATTTAATAAAATTATCTCCAAGGTTCATATGTCCCAGAACTCTAAACAAAAACGTCCAATTCAAATTGTCAAAGGCCTTCTCTGCATCTAAGAATATCATTGCAGCTTGTTTTTCATTATGTTGCTCCACGTATTCCAAAATATCTAAAACATTTCTAATTTTATCTCGTAATTGTCTTTTAGGTAAAAATCTACATTGATCTTCATGAATAAAATCCTGTAAAATTATCTTCAACCTTTCAGCCAAAATTGTGGTAAACAGCTTATAGTCATTATTCAATAACAATATTGATCAATACTTTCTTGTTAAAGTCAAATCTCGTCCCTCTTTAGGTATTAGTGCTATATTAGCCTCTTTCCAGTTCTCTGGCATCTTTCCATTCTGTAGAATAATATTCATTATTTGTTGTAAAGGTTGTAAAAGCTCATCCTTAAAACATTTATAGTAAGAGGCCGGCAACCCATCTGGACCAGGTGCCTTTCCTGTTTTAGTCTTTTTGATAGTGTCAGGTTTAGCCCATGGAACTCCAGGAGACCATGCAGATTCAATCCAGCAAGGTTTATTAGCTACAACCTCTAACAAGAATCTTCCCAGACTGGAACCAGTTCCCAGGGTCCATCAGTAAACATAGCCTGCATTCCTCAGGGAGGTGCCAGCCTCATCCTCTTATCTCCTCCCCTCCCTTCGGGAGATGAAAGAGCATTCTTCACTCCCCGATTCTGGCCTCCACTATTCCAGTCCATCACAGATAGCTTCCCATCAGTAAACATAGCCTGCATTCCTCAGGGAGGTGCCAGCCTCATCCTCTTATCTCCTCCCCTCCCTTCGGGAGATGAAAGAGCATTCTTCACTCCCCGATTCTGGCCTCCACTATTCCAGTCCATCACAGATAGCTTCACATAATTTCCTTATTGTTACAAATCCATTCAAATTTTGCCTTCGATTTTCTGTAATCTACGGTAAATTCTGTTTATATAAATATTTATCCACTTTCTCCAAGGAAATTTCTTGTCCTTTATATAAAGTAGTATAATATTAATGAAACACTTTTCACATATTTGTGTTATTTGTTATTACAGTATTTCCTTCATGTAACTTTAATATCACTTTCTTTTCTTTTTCTTTTCACAACTTGTATGCCAACCAATTCCCTGGTTGCCAACCATTTCTCTAGCCTTTTCAGTTGTAGACTTTTGAAAATCATCCTAAGGCATAATCTCTGAACATGATGCTTTGAACATGGTGCAAAATTATACTAGAACAACAAGCTTGGTTAATGTAAGAACATGCTCCCATTTGCATGATTGCATTATTAAATGGATACAGAATTTGAATGCAGTTACAGATATGCAACAAAGGAAATGTTAATGGAAGAAGATCATTAAATTTCTTCCATATATTATGGAATAAGGTGGTATAATATGTTTACTATTGGTGTATTACTCCAGTCCTGATTGCTAAAATGGACAATTCATTCTCTAAAATGTTGGAAATGTAATGAGCAGGTCAAATCATACTTTTATATTTGGTGACAATATTATAAAGCTCAGCAATTTTGGAAAAGGATTCATACTAGAATAACACACATCTTAAAAGCTGACATTCCCATTTTAATTTGCAATATTTTTATTAAACTTTCTTAACCATATATCCCTTCACAGTACATTGAATTAGCTTTGTATGTGCTAACTGCTATAAGGATATTATATGTTTTTTATGGAAAGCTCATTTGATACCCTCAGTGGAAGAATGGTGAACTAAGTTCTGGAAGTATGTTTTGATGTCTAGAATAAAGTTGTATCCTAAAAGTAAATTTGATATGGAATTCAGTTCAAATCATTCTTAGGCTACAACATAATAAATTTGTGCCACATCCACATTTGGCTTTATTTACAGAGTTTATAATTTCAGTAATATAGATTAAATTTACTGTAGTTTATGATCTTACTTGGTGAAGTATACTGTTGATCATGGTTCTTGATAGTCATGCTTATCTTAAACTTATCAACAAGTTTAAGTCTTTTAAAATAATAAAGTTACTCAAAACTAACTAATGATATACTGGAAAACTATAAACTCCATAACTCATTAAAATCCTGCATTTATTCATTTGTATTTTACTCTTTTATCCTTTTTTCTTGTTCTTTTTTTGTTCATGTATCTTCTTGGAAATGTTTAACTGAAAAAAAAATGGTCAGAGTTGTATACATAATCACTTTTAATAACTACCTAATATGCATATTTTCCATCTCCTATATTCCAAAGTACACAATGTGCTGTATGAAACAGCCTTGACTTTGAATCAATTATGCAAAACGGTCCAAGAGTACACCTGCCTTCGGTCCTTTTATGTTTAGAACAACACCTAATAAGAAGTAGCAAGCATACACAGCAGCAGCAGCAAAGGCAGAACGTTCGCAACATTTAATTAGCTGCCTCCAAATTCTATCGACCAGATTCCAAGATTGGCCATGGCATTTCTTTAATAAGCGGTTTAAAAAGGAGATCTACGTTGGCAAGTAAATGAGAATAGAATGAACGTTTCCATTATGATCACCAAAATAACCGTAACCTCTAAAAGAAACACAAGATTTGGAAACAGCTTCAGCTGGGGAGGGGGGCTGGTTTCTTCGTTAACGGGGTGGTTATACGTGTGGGAGGAGAGGAGTGCAACTAGTCGAAACATTTTGCAGATTTCCACTACCTGCTCTAGAAAAGACATTCCCATCACCTAACTTTTTTTGCACGGGGGAAGCTCTTCCACGGCGCGCCGTAGGTGCTGTCGCCTCATTTAAAGAGGATTCTTAACAGAGAAACGCAAGACCGGAGCCTTCCAGCCTCTCCAGGCTGCTAAAAATCTTGACGACTGTTAGATGGCAGTCCGCTCCGCAGGTAGCTCAGATCCGGCAGATCCCGCCCATTCGACGAGTCCGCTTGCAGAAGGGTAGGAAGCCGGAATCGCCCTGGAAGGAGGGGAACCAATCATGTGACCCGCTGCTCACGTGATCTTTGGGGAACTCTTGCGCCTCGCTGTTGCCCTCGAGGGTTGGGCTGCTCGCGGCAGTTTCTCTCTGTTCGCGTAAGTGACTGTTTCAGAGGGGTTCTCCTGGCCTGCCCTGGCCTGGCCCTGCCCGAAATCTTGCCTTTTCTTGGGACAGATAATGATAATCGTGTATGGGGCGGTGTGGGGCTGGGCTGCAGGATTGCTGTGGGGTTTACTTTGGCCAGGCTCAACGGGTAGAAAAAAAACTACTGTACACATTTTCGTATGAATCCGAAGGAGTCTGGTAGCATTTTTTCAGACTAACAAATGTTATGGCAGAAGCTTTTGACAGATGCAGTTGAGGAAGTGAGCTATAGCTCACGGGGGCTTATGTTTTTTAATAACATTTGTCAGCCTGGAAAGATGCTACTAAATTCCTGATTTTTAGCTACCGTAGACGAACGTAGCTCTCCTTTTGCAGTGTCCGCATTTTCACAGTATAATCGGCACTGAGAAACCAAAAAGGCAGTTAGAATTTTATGCTTGTAATATTGGCATCCTAAATTGTAATTAATATTGATAGGACACTTTTTTTTCTCTTCTCTGTTCTCAACACTCTTTTAAGTTTTCTAAATAATACAATGTTAATAATCTCCAATTAATATTGTATAAACATCATTGTATTGAAATAATATAATGTATCGAGATTCATAACATAATATCCCTATAGGCAGCATGAGGTCTGCCTTGCCCTTTAGAGAAGTTCTAACTGCCTTCTTGTTTCTCTGTTCCAACGAAAGCCCAGGACTTCAAGGCTGCTGCCAGATTTCCTGACACAGGAAATTTGTTCCTGCAGAGAATCAGCACATGTAGCTTTAGATGATTGATACAGCACAGAAGGAAAAATGCCCGAGAGCCTTGTTGCCTTATGAGGAATAGCAGTGCGGGGCCACTGTTTTGATGGGAGGCAATATTAGGTGCAGAGGAGTGACTTTTAGCTTTACTAGGCCTGACAAACATTCATCTGGGACTTCCCCACTTGGATATAAGGGATAGGTTCTTAAGAATAGTTAACTTGGACAACGCACCTTAGCAAAAGCCTTGAATTCATACAGCTTATGTCTGATCTGCATCCCCTCTGCAGCTGGAGACTTTGGTCCTATACCTGCTGAGGAGCAAACTCCTGCCTTTCTCCATGGTGGTTCAATGGCCTGACCGAAGCTGTGGTGGAAGAAACACACAATGCTGGTGACTTCAGCTCTAGCATTTGTAATCACCGTGCTTGGTATATCTGGAATCTTGGAAGCAGCCATAGCTGCTTCTAAAACAGAGAATGATCACCGGGGTAAGAATCATGGCAGGGAATCTGAGATACTGGAAGAACAGTTGGAACCCCTCTTGCCGCCTATGCAGTGCAACATCCCTGCAGACAGCCGCTTTGACTGTGCCCCAGAGAAACTTCTCTCTCAAGATGAATGTCAAGCTCGGGGATGTTGTTATGTCCCAGTTTCTTCCAAAGGCTCTGCTGGTTGGCAGCCATGGTGCTTCTTTCCTACCAGCTACTCTAGTTACAAGATGGCAAACGTAACTGCCACCCAGACTGGCTATACTGCCCACCTGACCCGCAGTTCACCCTCTTTCATGCCAGATGACATCATGAATTTGCAGCTGGATGTGATTTTTGAGACCGAGGGGAGGCTTCACTTCACAGTGAGTAGGGACTATTGATTAGGAAAAAAAGGAGTCTGAGGTGCTCTGACATTAACCAGACAAGGAAGATCTTTTACAACTCCCCAGCTCCCTGATATCGTGACACTAAAACTTGTGACAAAATGACCACATTGTGATAGAATGAATTTTGTTTTGTTCTTTTAGGAAAAAAAGCCCAAAATCAAAAATGGGCACACAAGATATAAAGGAGATAAACCAAACTGAAACTTGCCAAAGCCAGAAATGGTCATTTTCCAACTGATTTTAATCCATGTTGTAAGGAGGCAGTTTTGAGAGTGAGAATGGAAGTGGGGAAACTTTGAGAGGCAAACTGCTCTCATCCTTACTCTTAACCCCCTCCAGCAATTTTCAAGATTGGGGTACTTAAGGGTAGAGATGCAGCTGTTTCCCTCCTCCCCTAGGGGCCTCTCACTCCCATTTCCACTCTTAATTTCTCACCAAACCCATTTCTTAGTGACATCAGGATTACAACCTGTGATCTTCAAATGTTGCTCATTCCTGCTCTATAGAATACATAAAATAAATCTCTTTCATGCTGAACAGAGATGGTTATTGCCAGGCTATGTGCCTTTGGCAATTCTGTGGGAATTGAGAAGCTGTAGAATGTGACTGCTAGGACCAGAGTTCAGTTTCTTAAGAATCTTAGCATTTAAAAAATAATAATAATTTCAGAAGCTAAAGAAATGAATAAATGGCTGGGTACACACATCATGTTAAACTATTATGTGGTTTATTTAGTTTTAGCTTAACAGTTTGTGTGAACTCAGTCATTGTACTGCTTGAAGCATAGTTATGGTCTTCCTAGGACTGCTCTACCTAGCCCAGGTATCACTAGATGGCAGCAAAGAACTGAAGTTTTCTCTATTCCTTTGCTGATATTGGGCCAATGACAATATGTATGAATCCCGCTAATTATCGTTTATTCAATAAATCATGATTATGCACAGCATGGCTTAATGTGATTAGTGACTCTTAGTTACGTTTCTAGTAGCTGGAGCAGGGGCTGCCTTGCCTACAGAATTTCTTACTTGTCTCTGTGACCAAAATACATCCTGTGTATGATAATTACCTTAAATACATTATGCAGATATTATAGGTACATATGATGTATGTATCTAAATTATTCATTATGTATACATTTTCAGAAATCTAAGAACAGAAATTATAAATGAAATGCTGTGCTACAAACTCAGAAGCAATTAGCACTAAGTTTACTCCCAAGCAAAATCAAATAAGAGTGCAGCCTTGAACTTATTTTGTACTGCTTACGTAGGGTTCTGCTCATAGACTCCTGTTTTATAAATAACAGTCCAGGTGCAGGACTATTAAGTGTCATATTATGTGAACTGAAAGGTGGGAAAGTAATTAACCAGCAAAATAAAAAGTCCTCTTATTCAAACAGCTGGATTTCCTTGTAACTCCAAACTCATAACTGATCTCCTTCCTTTCATCTTGCAAATGATTTTGAAGTAGAAGCCAAGTCTCTTGCAGCTTGACTAGATTTTTCTGAGCTGCAGCACCTCTTTTTGGAGTAGGATCACCCAACTTTTTGATGCTATGTCTGTGTCTCTTTCACCACAGCTTAAGGATCCAGCTAAGAAACGCTATGAAGTCCCTTTAGAAACTCCCAAGACAACCAGTAAGGAATCCTCAACTCTCTATTCTGTGCAGTTCTCTGCTGATCCCTTTGGCCTCATTGTTCTTCGGAAGTCCAATGGGCAAGTGCTGTAAGTAGTTCTGGACTTTCCATACCCAAGTATTCTTCTACTTCTGTGTATTTAACTTCCAGAAAATCATCCTAATTAAGGCTGAACTGCTGTATGAAGATAATATAGGGAACCCTATATTTTAGGGGGGAATGACAAACTAGTGCTTCTAGTTCATATATTCTGAATGTTGAAGGGCCATTTTTCGTATTATACTCCAGAGCTTGCCTTCACCTGAAGGGATTTACACACTTTTGACAGATGTGCATATCTTCCAAATAGGTATTTGTATCATTCATGCATTTATATTTTGTGTACGAAACAGTGCACACAATATACAATATGTGAAATAACCTTTAATGATTACATCTCTAATAAGCAGTATTGATGCACTGAGTTGAGTTTCATCTTTTCTGACATGCAGTATCTCTAATTCTGGACTAAATTCTTTTGCTTTCCCTTTGATACCTATTGCTCCAATCAGGCCAATTCTGGGCCATGTACAAAAATAGAAAACCATAAACAGAATTTCTCACAAACTATTTAGAAACCATTCCAAAAATAATCATAAATAGAAACAAAATAGTTTCATGGAACATTCCTGAACAATAGGAGGTAGGAGCATCTCTGGGAGCCTCATGTTCCATAACTGAACTTTTTAAGATGAATTCAAGCAAGCAGTAGCATCCTCTTCGGTGAGGACACTTACCTAGCTCACCATGCAGCCAGAGATTAGATTAGATTAGATTAGATTAGATTAGATTAGATTAGATTAGATTAGATTAGATTAGATTAGATTAGATTAATGGCCTTGGGAGTAGCTTCCAAAATAGATTGAGGTAAGTGATAGAAAAAGGGGACATTATTTGTAAACTGCTTGCGGAGATTTTCCACTTTCTCCCAATAGGCTTAATACTACTGTGGCTCCTCTGTTCTATGCTGACCAGTTCCTTCAGATCTCCACTGCTTTGCCATCATGTTTCATCTCTGGATTGGGTGAACATCTGACCCCTCTTACTCTGAATGTCAATTGGACCAAAATTACCCTGTGGAATCGGGACATATCACCTGCGGTAAATCACAAGAGGGTGGCAAGGTTCCCTGAAAGGACTTGGTCTCTTAAGTATTTAATCAGGATGCTATGCAGTCGTCATCTGATTATAAGCTTGTATACTCAGTTGCTAAGGATCAGATTTAGCATGCACTGAATCACAGATTGCATAGGAATAATTCCAGTATTTCATGCAAAGTTTGCAAAAACATAGAAACAATGAGGGGTAAAAAATGTCACAAACATACCCAGTGAAATACAAGTTATATTCAATGGCCATATGACACTAGGGTCTTTTGGAGAAGAAATAATGACAAATAGAACAAGTTGCATATTTTAGTTGGAACTCCGAATAGCGGAGTGTAGCGGGAATAACTCTCACATTGCAAGATTGTGTGACAGGTCTCACCTGGGCACTCTACTGTTTAATCAGCTTTGGTCTGTAATTTCTCCTTCCTTTGAGAACCGTAATTCTCTGCAAAGCTTTTGAGAGCTCTGGAAAGCATTCCCAGCATCTCATTTACCCATGAAACCCCAGATTCTTGGAAAAAACCTACAGGTATTCCCCTGTATTGGAGACTGGCCCTCTGTCTGTGGAAGTCTGGGAAATAGAGTCAAAAGCTTGCTTGATCCAACTGTTTGATAGACTTTTTAGATTCTCATTTAATTGGCACTTGAATTTTTAAAAAACAATTAGTGAAAAGGGGCCATTGTGCTGGAAAAAGTATTTGCTTAGTTGAGGCTGCCTAATAGGTTCTGAATTGCTCAGGTAAAGTCCAAGTCATTGCTGAAGTGTTCCTGTTGTCCAGTACAGCATTGACTCTATGCACTATTATTTCTGTGTTTTTAGCCCTCTGCCAACTTATATGGTTCACACCCCTTCTATGTGGCTTTAGAAAAGGGTGGCTTGGCCCATGGAGTCTTCTTACTGAACAGCAACGCTATGGGTAGGTATTGTATCAGGTCACATCCCTGATAGCTCAGGCCAAGCTTGTATATGATAAAAATAACCGAACGATCATTTGTGTATGCCCAAACTATATGGATTTGAAGGAACTGTTTTGTGATTTGGAGCAGAGACTCCAACTCTGTCCTATAATCACGGTTTGGACCATGTAATTTTTTTTTAGCTTCAGCAATTTAGCTGGTTCTATTAATTGCTATTTAGTGATTGCTTACACTGTATAACAGTGCAGCCCTGTCTATTTATATTGAGAATTAAGGCCCTTTGTGATGCTAAATGCAATAGGACCTGAATCTGACAAATATTGCTTAAGCCTTCTTTTCTTTCCTCAATAGTTAAGAATCTGCTGAATGTAAAAGGACCATATTTGTACCTCTTTCTATTAAAGGGAATTGGCTATAATGTGGGCCATAGTTCTCATTGTCAGAACAGAGGCAAGACTAGCCATTAAGCAGCAAATAGAGGCTGATCTCATGATAATGGAATACGATGGCTGTACGGAGGTTGTGGGGGTAAAATCCTGCCAGTATTTCTGCAATTTATGGATAGTGTGCTGTGTCCTTCTAGTAGTATTTCCAAGCCCCTGTTTGTCTTCTAGATGTGCTACTACAACCCCACCCAGCATTGACATGGAGAACTACTGGGGGTATCTTGGATTTCTATATTTTCTTGGGCCCAGACCCTAAGAGTGTGGTGCACCAATACATGGATGTTGTTGGTAAGCATTTGCACCTTTCCATATGAGAAGATAGGCAGTGTTTTGAGGATAGGCTTTCTCCTCATTATAGTTGCATCCAAGAAGGCCCTTTAGTAGCTTCCTGGGAGCGCTAAACAGTTCTGAGGGCAATGGCCACTTTTGTCATTAACACTGCACTGCTCTGCCAGCAAGATCCCTTGTTGTTTAGGCAGTCTGGCTCTTCTAGCTTCTAGACTTCTGTCAGAGTGCTGTGTGTTGGTGCTGGAGCTCTTAAAGGATAAGCTCTGAGAGATGGAAGAAATAATGAGACCCCTACTTCAGGCTTTTATTATACTAACTGGAAGCCTTACCCAGCCTGGATGTCCTCCAATAATGTGGGCTTTAACCCCCAGGATTCTTAGCAGTGGCCTTGCTGACTGCAGAATTCTGGGATTTGAAGTCTGCACCTCTGGATGATGCTCAGCTTAGGAAAGAATAGATGAAAACTTGTCATTCATGGAAAGCTCCTCCAACGGTGATCATTGTAGAATAGTTTGGGGTAAATAGGATATCCTTTTCATTTCTGAGCCCAAGAAGGCAGGGAATCTGGGAAGGAGGGAAGAGGAATAGAGGAGACCCTACCCTTTGTGCTGCCTTTTTGAAGTTTGCTTTTTTAAATGCTCAGCACAGTGTTTCTCAACCTTGGCCACTGGGAGGGGAATTGCTAGCTGGGGAATTCTGGGAATTGAAGTCCACACATCTCAAAGTGGCCAGGGCTGAGAAACACTGGCTTAGCATCTTCAGTTTCCAGAAACTCCCAGCCAATACATGGTACAAAACATAGGCAGAGCATCAGCTCAGAAAGGGCTTCTCTGAAGAAAGGATAGTGCACAGTTTGGGATTGTGCTAGACTATTTATCTGTGCTTTGTACATTTTTTAAAAATCACATAATCTACAAAGCAGTCTAAACCACAGTGTCTATAATGGCCATTTTTTCCTCTCTTTCTATCCCATATCCCGACTTGGTTTAGGTATTAGAAGGGTGGAAGCAGCCCTTTACTCCTTCTGAAGCTGCAACACAAAACATGGGTCTTAGACATAAGCATAACCTTTAAAATAGCTGTGCTAGAATTTACCAAATTGCCAAAGTAATTTTGGGTTGAAAGGTTCAGAAATACTGTGAGTATTTTATTGAAATTCTGTTTCTATGGGAGATTTGGGAGCACTGATTGCTTGTTTTGAGAGGCTTTGAGTGTTGATTCCTCTCTCTCTCTCCCAAATTTCTTTCAGGCTACCCGTTCATGCCTCCTTATTGGGCTCTTGGGTTCCATCTTTGCCGCTGGGGATACACGTCCACTGCTGTTACACGGGAGGTGGTGAAAAACATGACTGCAGCACTTTTTCCTCTCGTAGGTGCCTTCTCTGAAATGCATCTGAATATAGCTTCTCCCTGACCCTTGGACTGGGTTCACATATTTCCCTAAGCCATAATGTGGTTGTATTATGTTAAGTTCAGAGGTTATTTTCTGATGCCCAATCACTTGCTCAGGCAATCTCCTATAGTCAGAGACTAAGAAACACAATTGATGCAGCAGCAAAATTATAATAAATGAATGGCTACAGGCCCAACCTCATATTAATGAATACATAAAGGAGAAGGCAAGTTAAACATAATACAGTTCATCAAATATTTTTATAAAGCTTACATGTCATAGTAAAATAAAAAGGAATTCTACCAAAACTTCTCAGTTGGTTTTAGCTTGGTATGTTTTGTGAATCCAGACATTAATTTTTGTAAATGAGGGTTAATGGATTGTGTCAACTCAGCCAGTTGTAATTTATTTAATAAACCATTATAAAACAGATCATGGGCTAACATGGTATGTAAACCCAACGTGTGTGAAGTAGTACAGCTGCCATGTCAGTATGACCACTGAAAGAGAATACTTATTCATAGAGAAAAGTTGGATGGGGAGCAAACCTGCTCTCATCAGTATCTTGTTCCTGGGCTCGCAGGATGTGCAGTGGAATGATCTGGATTATATGGATGCTAAGCGAGATTTTACCTTCAACAAGGATGGTTTCTGGGACATGTCAGACATGGTGAATGATTTCCATCATGGCGGCCGGAGATATGTCATGATTGTGGTAAGTTCAACGAATCCTGGATTCTCTTTGAGGGGCTTCCTTACAGTGACTGAAGATATTGAAATTGACCTGGTCTTTGGAGAGATCAGGTGTGAGATTCTGATATTTCTGGCCTGACCTAAAAGAGGTAGATAACTATAACTCTGTGTCTTTGCTTTGTCTTCTCTCATACGTTGTGTACTCTTGAAAGGTTTGCAAAATCTGCCAAATCTTTTGTCCCACAGAAGTAAATGATGCAGTTCCATATCCAGCCCTCCCTAATGCAGGAGTGAACCTTTTGGAAAGAGAGTGCAGTCTGGGTTTCTTCCAGTTTAGGGAGGATTCATAGTTTGGTTGGAGGTCCTCTAATGCAGATACAAAAGTTCCTTGTCATATGTCAGCCTATCTTTGAGGTAGGCAAGGTCAGGAAACAGGAGTTGCTAGAAGTATTGGAATGTAGTTTAATGCATTTAGGATAATCTAACAAAATCTTGAAAGCTTGTCACTACTTCAACTTATACCTAGCACAATCAAGGCAAAGTTGTTTTGAGCTTCTTTCTAACTTGCTACTTTTCCAGGACTCAAATATATTTTCTGTAACAGCTTGGCATACTCCCCCTTCTCTGAGTCAAACTAATATTCTGTCAGATTTTTGATAAGTGGGGTCATATGACTGGAAAGGTTATTTCTGTTTGGGATAGTGAGGAAAATAACTTGTAGAAGGAGTCTCTGCTGAAAACTTAGAAGGGAAACAGGTACAATGTCAGTGGTACCTTTTTTAAAAAAAATGTATTTATTTATACATCACATTTATATAGCCACCCATCTCACACAAAATGACTTTGGACAGCATACAACAATTAAAATAAAATAACAAGTGAATAAAAACAGGCATTATAAAAAGATAAAAAATTATTATTAGAATAAAAACATCACACATTTTAAAAAATAGATTTTAAAATATACAAACCCCATGGAGAGAGCAGAATATCAGTTACAGTGGAGCCATCTAAGAATGTCTCCAGTTCCCAAAGGCCCCCAGGCCTGATGACACAACCAGTCTTTGAGGGACTTCCTAAATGACAGCAGAGAAGGGGCGAGCCTAACTTTAGCTGGGAGAATGTTCCACAAGGAGGGAGCCACGGCAGAGAAGGCCCGCCTCCTGAGACCTATCAAATGCAAGTCCCTGGCCAACGGAATGCATAGCATACCTTCCCTGCTGGATCTAACTGGACAGGCTGATGTGATCAGGGAGAGACAGTCCCTCAGATAACCCTCATATATATGTCAGTAAGATTGGGATGGTCTGATTTTTTTCTCCTACAAGGGATTTTGGAGTTCTTATTTGTTAAATTGTGTAGGAACTAGTTTAAGTTGTATGTTGCAATTTCAGTATGGTTTCTGTTTCAAAATGGCAGGAATCAACATTCTGGATTTTTAACAATAATGGAATAAAAGGGTTGGGAACCTTTCATCAGCCCTGGGGCCTCAGTATGCACCTTCTCTGCTTTTTGGGGTAGAAAGGAAAATTATACAAACCTTGAAAGCACAGAGAACTTTAGATGTTCGTATATTTAAATTTTAGAGAAGCAACAACGGGATAAATGACTTCCCATATTCATATAATGGGTTGCTTTCTCTATGACCTTTAATATTCCAACCATGTTTCACATTTGGAAAATTATAATCCACAAGCTGTGTACTGTTGCCCAACTTCAATAATGGATGCTTCTCTTTCTCCTGAAATGTCAAGTTTGCTTCTGTTTTTCACACTGTTCAAATGCCATAATCTGGACTCTCTACATATAAATAAAGGCATGTTCATTTCCTATGCCTCATGTGCTGTTCTGGCAATCTGTCGCCTAACCCTGAAGTACTGCCAAAGTTTGAAAGAGCATGTGTTTTGTTCCCTTGCTTGAGTCAACTCTGTCCTGTCCTCTTCACATTTTCATACTCCATCAGTATGAACAATTATGGCTGAACAGATGTCTCTCTTTCTGTTTCCTTGTAGGATCCAGGGATCAGCAGCTCCAGTCCCCCAGGCAGTTATAGGCCCTATGATGAAGGCCTGAAGCGGGGGGTTTTCATCATAAATGCAACAGGACAACCTTTGATTGGAAGGGTGAGACCCGGGATCACCCATGAATGGGGCGTATACAGAAGCAGTCACTGGGTTCAAAATGGCAGGATTGACTGGGCAATCAAAGCCCTGTTCCTGTTACCTGTGTGTAGTGCATATGAAACACGTTAAAAGGTGGTGGACTTCATTTGCCCAGTCAGCCCTGCCATCTTGAAGCCACTGACCATTGCTATGGACCCTTCTGCCATGAACTTTGGCAGAGAAAGGATAGAGCTCCAGTGGGGGAGGTGCCATATGGTGGAATTTAAGCCTGTAATCTGTGGTCTAGTAGACCTTGACAGAGGAATGGAGCAAGGAGAGATAGGGAATGTGTTTTTTGCTCACCTCATGAATATTTCTCACACATTTCATGTCTTCCTTTGAAATCCAGATTTGAAAATACGAATTTTGAATGCAGCTGCATTTGTAGCCTCACTGTTGCACAACATCATGAAAGGACAAAGGGTTCAACTTTCAAACAAGACTTATTCTCATAATTAGCATGTTAATCTTTTTATTGTTCCATCTCCAAAGATACATCAAAATGTATCATGGTAGCATATACAGAAGGTTTGCTGATTTATATTCATAGCTCTTATTTTTATCTTCCAGGTTTGGCCTGGGCCCACTGCCTTCCCTGATTTCACCAACCCAGAGACTCACCAGTGGTGGTATGACATGGTCAAGGATTTCCATGACCAAGTGCCCTTTGACGGCATGTGGATAGTGAGTTTCCAAGCCTGGGACTTGGGTGTTGAACAGTTGGGAGACATTCTCTTTGGATGACAGTGCTTCTGGTTCTTCAAAATCACAAGAGGGGAAGTTCTGATTTAGAAAGGTGACACATGAACCTCCTTCTCTTCCTTCTTCTAGGACATGAATGAGCCATCAAATTTTGTGGATGGTTCCTTGGAAGACTGTCCAAACAACAAGCTTGAGAACCCCCCTTATGTACCAGGTAAAAAGAGAAGCAGTTTGTTTGGAGGTGATGTTTCTGGCAAACATATGGTATAGTTGGAGAACTAAGAAAAAGAAATGAAATCAATCAAATTATTTGAGGGATGGAAAAAGACACAGTGGAATAAAGCCCATAAAGGAAATACCTAATATATTCAGTTTGCTTGGGTAAATTTGTTAAAACATGGCTCCAGCTTACTTTAGTTAATAGCCATCTTGATAAAAATGATAAAGAAGAGGTATAAATCTGTCTTCCCTCCAGTGATTCTTAGGGGTCTGTGTGCACGTGTGTGTGTGTGTGTGTTGCTAACTTCTTATATTGCCCTAAACCATGGTTCATTTTAACTGTAATTGAACAAATCAGCCTGGAACCATATTTTACAAACAACAGTGACTGAATTCACATATCATATCAAACCCAAATCAAACAGATTATCTAATGGCCTAGGATACTGTGTGAACCAGCCACTGTGTACTTAAGGGGCTTTTTAAGCAATTTGATGGGACTATAATCCTATGTGTGTTGGGTTTTTGTTTTTGTTTTCCTTTTTGAGCACAGAACAACTTACCTCAACAAATATGCAGACAACTGATTGTTTCTAATAAGACAGGACATTGCAGAAATTCTTGCAAAAACCTGCCAATTAATTGAACAATAAAAATTTGCTAAATAAAATGCTACAGTGAAGAAGTTTGGGGTACAGCTTACAAGGTTTTTAAATAAAATTTGTGTTCAGTGAAAGAGTATCCTTTATAGCATATTTCATTACTGATTTTTAGTTCAATATGGAAAGTACACATATTGTTGACTGAAATACATTGTAGACATATGAACTTCATAAATGACTGTATGACAAATGATACATAAGCACTGAATGCATGTGATTTTTGAAAAATGCAACATTGATTCTGAACATTCAGCAGCTCTTTGGCCTACCATGGCAAACACTTGAATCTGGATATTTAAGAAGACTTGTTGGCTTTTTTCAATGTTTTTAGTTTTGGAGGCCCCAGTCCAGAGCTGACGCATATGGCTTATAGCGCTTAGGTCAAGCCTAGTTGGATTTTCTTGATGGAACTTGAATTCTGAGACTGGAAGCAGAATAGTGAGCTCTCTATGAAACTTCTGTAGCACTACTTGCCTGCTCCCTATAAAACTGAAGGCACGAGTAATCAAAAGGGGATGTGTTTATGCTGGAAACCGATGATCCCAGGTTCACTAAAACACTCACTTCCACACACCCTACACATCACTTGCCTTTGGGTCTCCACAAGATGATTTCACTGGCTATATAGTATTTCTCCCCCTTACACTTGCAGGTGTGCTGGGTGGATCTTTGAAGGCAAAAACCCTCTGTGCCTCCAGTAGGCAATACCTGTCTTCCCACTATAACTTGCACAGCCTTTATGGGTTGACTGAGACTATTGCAACACATGAGTGAGTATGAAAGGGAACTCTGTAAGATGGATAGTTATTCCTGCGATCCTGCCCAAGAGATGGACTGCCTCTTGGGTACAAATTTAAGATAATAATACATTTTGGTTTGGGGGACAGGGATGAGGGGAGTACTATCTCAGCAGATAAGCTGGAACTAAGCTAATAACTGAGAGGCTATGATCTACTATGGCAAAATCTATGACTCCAGTGTTTAAATTGTTTTCTAAACCTGTACAGTTAGGAGTGTGAAAGCTCCAGTTTCCAGATCCATAAGGGTCATTTGAACACTTCCCTTCTGTTCTCAGTGCTTTGGTGAAAGTGCGAGGGAAGCGTCCATTTGTGATCTCACGTTCCACCTTTGCCAGCCATGGACACTATGCTGGCCATTGGACTGGGGATGTTGCAAGCGTTTGGGAGGATTTATACTACAGTATACCAGGTACAGAATAAGTATTTGTAGGAACCACTTTGTGAACTTCTCCAAGTTCTTACCTGTCCTATTGTGGATTTTTTTTTATATCTCCCTGGGAAAGAAAAACTTTTATCAGAAGTAAATATTTTCTGGCAAGATAAAACATTGTGCTTCCTCTAGCTTTCTCTCTTGTAGAACATCAGCATTGCTCCTGCTGCTTTCTAGAGTTTACCATTCAGAGCCTTTCCTAATCTACACCATTTGTCCTCTTATAGCAATGTTGCTCTTCAATCTCTATGGGGTGCCATTGGTTGGGGCTGACGTCTGTGGATTTCTGAAAAACACGACAGAAGAGCTGTGTGTGCGCTGGACCCAGCTGGGCGCATTCTACCCTTTCATGCGAAACCACAATGGCCATGGAAGCAAGGTAAGCATCTTATCTGTAAGTAGGAAAGTAAAAAAGCATGTTACTTACATTTTTCCAATCAACGCACCAAAAGTTAATTTAGTGATCCAAGAATCCTGGATGGGAAGCTCTAAGACAATATAATATTTGAAAGTCAAAGAAATACAGATTGCCATAGGAGGCCATAATGATAGTCTTTGTCCTTCTTGTGTGTGAAAAAAAAAAATTCTATTGCCACATACCTTATTAATGTGATAAAAATTGCAGGGTGTTCATAACTCTACTCTGTTTTAGTCAATCCTATACTAACTAGACCACCAAAAAAAAAAAAAATGCGCTCATGCATGCTTACTTACTCAGAAGAAAATCCCATTATGTTGCTACCTGAATAGCTGAATTGATATTTAGTATCCAAATCAGACAGTGTTCCTGCTGATGCAGTGCTGCAAATTGTGTGGCTTTAATAGTTTCACTACTGTCACAACAAGCTGTGGGATAATGCCATAAGAGATATTCTGTGATCTGGTTTAATGTTATGCTAAGTTGTGGTTTCTTTATGGTTGAGAATTAAGCCATAACTGGCTGGATCCCAACCTTGTAATAAGCCATAAAGTAGGGTCCATAACACTCATGGACTCGTTTTCTACATATTAAACTGAACCAAATGAGCCACGTGATGGCTTTAGCATATTGTGTGAACTAGGCCTTGGTGCCTCAATTCTTGTTAACTGCATTCCTCTTTTGAACGTCCTGCTACCCCCATAGTAGGAGGAACGTGCTAATGACAGAAAGAAAAATGATTTGGTGTGGAAAAGAACTTCCTGAACCGACCTTAGCAAATGCAAGAAATGCCTTTTCTGCCTCAGGAACCTGCTCACATGATGTCTCCCATTGCTTTCCTTTCTGCTTCGCAGGCTCAGGAGCCATATGCCTTCAGCCAGGAAGCCCAGCAAGCCATGAGAAAAGCCTTTTACCTGCGCTACTCCCTGCTGCCCTATCTTTACACCCTGTTCCACAAGGCCCACTCCACAGGCGAGACAGTAGCCCGTCCCCTTTATTTTGAGTAAGTCAGGGGACAGCTGTGTTGCGAGGGAGGATGTGGCCCGGTGGATCTCAGCTAGCATTGGGCTGGTGGCTTTGCAACAAAAGCTTCTGGATGATTATAAAATAGGCTTCACTGAGGGTCTTCCAAATGAATTGGCAGGTAATTCCCATCATGGTGGGAATTCTCACCTTCAGAAAACAACAGGCTGGGTAAAGGTGTTCTGGAATCTAAAGCTCTAGGCAGCCAGGCTGGTCTATCTAGCACAGGAGTGGGAACTTATAGCCCTCCAGACACTGAGAATTTTAGCTCCTAGCTATCTGGAAAGCCACTGGTTCCACACTGTGGATTTAATGTAAGAGTGTATGAAGCTCTCTTTCTTTTACTTATATGCTTAAATTGGTTTATCTTGTTTATTCTTAATTATTACAATATTTACAGCCTGCTTAAGAGCTTAGGGTATGTTACACCCTATAAAATACTAAGATAAAACAATTAAAATGCTTTAAAATATGAAAACAGTGTGATCCTGTTAGGACAACAGTAGATGGCTGGGTTTGGTTCTGGGTGAAGGAAATGCATCTACACATGAGAGAGAAATATGTTGTAGTGACTAGTGACTTTTTTCCTTAACTGCTAGGAGTTCTTTGAAGTCCTGTGGTCATGTTCTTTTATAATCTTTGCAGATTCCCACAAGACACTTATACGTGGAACATTGATCGACAGTTCATGTGGGGAGCTGGGCTCCTCATTACTCCTGTGTTAGAAGAAGGGATAAGAAAAGTGACTGGCTACTTTCCTTTAGGGACATGGTATGACACCATAACGGTGAGTGTTGCTGTTGGCATTCACAGAGGCTCAGGTGGAGTGTCTATGACCCTTTGTCTTAAGCAGCTGTTAAACTTTCACAGAGTTTACATAAGTGAGTTTACATAAAAAGAGATGACCCATTTATTCCTGTTCCATTTTCTTGTGCCTACTCTTCTGCTAAGAGAAGTTGTTCTAGGTACTTTTTCTATAGTGTCAGCCCTATAGGGTAGGCCAGACTAAGAAACCAAGGCTGTATAGGCCTAAAACTTCTTTTATTAGAACAGCTATAGTAACAGAATCTTGCAAGTCTGAATGTGCTTCCCTCCTCCCTCACTTTATCTTTGTGTGAATTCACCTGTCTGAGATTTTTCTCAAGTTAGTTTCTTGGAATGGACTTCAGCCTCACTTGTCTGATTGTTGCCTTGGTAACAGATCTTCCCACTGTCCTTCAAGGTCATTCTTTATGCTCTCTACAATAGTGATCAGTGATTTGCTTGCAGTCTAACACTGACCACTTTCATCGTGAATTTCTGGGCAGGGCAGGGAATTAGATGGTCACATATTTTGGAGAATCAAACAAAATGTTTGAAATGATAAAATAATGTATTGTTTTGAAGAAGCAACAAAAAGAAACTTCTTTAATCCAGAGGCAGCTCTACTAGTGGAATTAGTAATTAATTACTAGTCAGTCAGTCATTGACTGTATTGATTAGCCTTCTGGCCATTTCAATTTCATAAAAACAATCTAATACCATATTAAATATAAAATCCAATATACAGTTAAAATTATAATTATAAAACCAGGAACTGTCTTAACTCAGTTCACCATCTTTACAGTTTATGACATTGGTTGCTCTAAATTCCTCTCTAATTTTTATTGCCTTATTAATGAACTTAGTGATACTCCTAACCACATGTTGATTGTAGCCTGACAATAATCGGTCCAATATAAAATCACAGGATATATAACTGTAATATACTGCTTTATATACTTCTGTCTTATTTGTTCATACAGATGACATTCAAAGATTATATGGACTAAATTTTCCACTCTACTTTTACCACAAAAACAAAGTCTCTCCTGATATGGTGTGCCCATTACTTCCTGAGTTTCCAGCTGGTTAAATCTTAATCGTGTAAAGATTTTGCGATACATTAAGGGCATTGAGACTGTGAATTAATTACTAATTACTAGTTTTTAGTCACTAATTAATTAGTAATTCCATTATTAATGGAATATGCAGAAGTGGGTTGTTGCTATGATGATGTATTTTCAGTGGAAAATACTGGCTGAGCTCCAGTAAAGAACTTGAAGGGCAGATTTTGTATTATCTTCTGCACATCTGCCAAATGGAACAGGTGTTATGGCCCCTTATATACCACACATTACACAACCTATTACATAACGAGGCAAGATAAAACACTTAAGATATGGTCTTTGAAGGAAAAAAACTGTTTCAAATAAATAAATAAACAAACAAACAAACAAACAAACCAAATGATTCAAATAGAAAGGAGCAACAATCGCAGATATCCAAAGTATATTATAAAAATATTTACATGGAAATTAGCAGCTGGGAAAAAAACAGGGTGGGGAGAGACAGGGGCCACTAGAAAACTTGTTTTCATCATGTTTTGTCTTTGTCTTTTTGTTTCTTTGTCTGTTTTGCTTTTTAAAAAAACCTTTTTTAAAAAAAATCTTTCCATAACCGTTGTATTTTCAATTCAACTTTCACTCTTGTGCAAAGTTCATTTTATGTATGTATGTATGTATGTATGTATATGTATTCTTTTCCTTTTCCTTTGTTTTTGCTTTTTTGTTGGTGTTTGTTTTACTTCATTAAAATAAGTTGGAGTGGGGAAGGAACAAGTATTCAAAGCATGATGAGATACGCAAGGACAACTAGATCTACCCCCTTCCCTCAGACAGGCACATGCTTATACATCCCTTTCCGGGTTCAAACCCTGTCTTAATCATATGACTTTTATATCCGTGGCCCTTCAGGGATCCGTCATCCACAGCAAGGGTCAGTGGATTCTCCTACCAGCTCCACTTGACACAATCAATGTCCATATCCGTGGAGGTCACATTCTTCCTTTGCAGGTGGGTCTAGTGCTCCTTTCTCCTTCTCCGGCCACTTTGCCAAACGTAGGAGAATGGCAGCCCAGTGCTGCTGCAGGATTGTCTGGGCAGAATGTTTTGGGGTTTGTTTTTTAGTTGCTTGGGAGGGGAGGAGGGGAGAGGGGATGTACTAAAGTAAATGAGGCTTTTAGGCCTTTCTGCTCTGATATAACCTCTTCCTCCACTGCAAATCTCTCCAGGAGCCTGCTCTCACAACCACAGAGTCCCGCTTAAATGGAATGACTCTCATGGTGGCTTTGACCCTGGAAGGGGTAGCCAGAGGGAATTTGTTCTGGGATGATGGTGAAGGGCTGCTGACCTTTGAGAAGGGCGATTACACGCAGATCTTCTTTCTGGCAAGCAACGTAAGTTTGGAAATAGCTGATTTGATCTCAGAAGCTGAACTGCACTAGCCTATTTAATCAGCTATTCTCTCTTGAGTTAGCCCCATTTGAGCAAGCATCTTGTTTCGCATCCGATTAGATCACCCCAGTGGATCTGAATAATAGCAGTGTCACAGGGCAGCAGATGGGATGGCAAGGCACAGTATGCTAAAAGCCCCCATAGACATTCTAAGCCCACTTGAATTTACAGGCCGGCTCTTGCAGAATGCAAAAATTGCTTTCCCACTGGCCAAGTTGCTTCTCATTAGTGCCCTTGTACAGCTGAATTATGACTGAATAATAGGATTTAAAGTAGGGTCTGCCATTTTTTGTGGCCAAGGGCCACATGTGATTTTTGGCTGGTGCGCTCTTAGTCACACTGCAAAACGTAGGAGAGTCAGGACAAAGGAGTGGCTGAGATTTGGATATTAAATACATTAAATACAAGTGATAAGATTCCCAGTAGTTGATGTTCACTTTACAAGAAGCTCTGAGGACGTTTGAGGATTGCAGGTTGTGCTTTAAAGGACAGAGTGATCAGTTATGATGAGACTGGATAGGAAGGCAGTAGCAGATACAATTCTCTCCAAAGGGTAGACTGATGGGTGTGTATGTGTGGGTGTGCATACATGTGTGCATGCTCATGCTACCAGAACCTTGATGCCTTCTTGTAGCAACATCATTCAAGAGATGAAAACAAGGCTGATAGTTGTGGCTTTCTCACACATTATTTCTTAGCTAGATGCTTCTTTCTAAAAATCAAGCAATGTGAATTCATGGCCAGTTATCAAAATATTGTTAGAATGTTCACTTTGTCCCAACAGGTGTTCCTAGAAGTGTCATTCTTAACCAGGTACCCTCCAGATATGCAATCCTGTATCTCCAGTTACTGTTTAGCAAGTTACTGTCTCTGCAACTGCTGTGCAATTCTGGGAGAAGGGACAGGTGCTTTACAAGGTTGTAGATAGGTGCTTCTTGCCCACTTTTTTCACACTCCAAAGCACTTGAAGTGTATACTATTGGTTCTACATTTGCTGTTGTTGTTCAGTCGTTAAGTCGTGTCCGACTCTTCGTTACCCCATGAACCACATCGCACCAAGCCCTCCCATCCTTCACTGCCTCCCGGAGGTTGCTCAGTTTCATGCTCATTGCTTCAGTGATGCTATCTAACCATCTCAT